TTAAGTGGTTTGATATTATCCCCTTCTCTCAGTTACCTCTAAGGCTGAAATTAGATCATAAGTAACCTGTATGAATATATATATTTTAGTGTGGGTTCTAAAGAGTACTTTTGGAGAAACCACACACTTGTAATAACAGATAGTGCCCCTCTGGATAAAGTCTGAGTGGTTCCCAGAGCAAAGAGTAGTAATAAGGTCTTTGCTAAGGAGCATAGAAAAGGGAGGGCGCAATATATGAGAGACAGACGAACTGAGAGAGGAGAGAAACAGAAGCAGACATATTGACAGACAGTCAAAGCAATTCCTCAAGCAATTCCTCAAAACGTACGGGAAGACGTCAAACACCAGATACCGCCAATGTGTTAATTTGCAGTGCAGTAGTGCTTTACGAGATATCTTTCATTGTGACTTAATATACAAGGTTTTGCTGCCTCTATTATTACTGTGTTTGTTACATCTCAGCGTTCATTCTTCCGTGTGAGATTTTCCTCTATTGTTTCGCTGGCGGCCGAGAGACTTACATGTGGCCCATTGACCGCCCGCTATCGCAAGCTTACACGCAAGGGAGCAGAGAGAGTGAGAGAAAGAGAAAGAGAAAGAGAGAGAGAGGGGGGGTAGGGAGGAGGGAGACAGGGATGGAGGGAGGGAGGCAGACAGAGAGAGAGAGAGAGAAAGAGAAATAGAAAGAAAAGGAGAGAGAGAGAGGGGGGGGAGACAGAGATAGATAGATAGACATGTGTGTCTTAAAGGTCATATCCTTGTTGTGGTATGGCAGTTTTTAAATTCTATTACTGCGTCTGTGGGGATTTTGGCAATGTTTTGTCGGCTATTCAAAAAAAGCTGTAACTTGAAGCTTTAAGATTATTTTGAGTATTTCTTATCAATTCATTTAAATTGTGCATAGTCGCAGTCTGAAGAAATTGAGAATCATCGGTTTATTAAACTGTTGTTGATAGATCGTTAATAAATATAGTGAATAAAATAGACCCTAATGTAGAGTCTTGCGGAGCACAGGAAGTGACTGGTTTCGTTGATTACATTTTATACGAATTTTGACTGACTGCGTTCTAATGGAAAAGTAACTTCTGGACCAATGGTAGTCAATTCCATGGTTTTATAAAATTCTGATGAAGACGATTTCGTGGGTGACACTATCAAAGGCTGCTGTGAGTAGATTTTTTTTTTTTTTGGCTATGTTATCATGAATTTCGTTTTGGGTTTATCATATTGGTGTTTCAATGGACCGGTTACTTACAAACCTATGCTGCATTTCAAATATAAGATTATCGGGTGCTAATAATGTTAATTGATCTGCAACTGTTGTCTCTAGCACCTTAGCTATCACTGGGAGTAGAATGATAGGAAAATAATTACTCAGTTGACCTGCATCTCCTGATTTGGAAACGTGTGTTATGATACAATTTTCAAAATTGATGTGTAGGCACAGGTGTATTATAGATGTAACAGTGATGACAGTTAGATAGAAAGCAATTGTGGGTACATTTGCTTATAGACTGTTTTGATTACCTTAGCTTAGCATTAGATTTATATAGGTTGCCATTTATGTCACGTAAGATGAAAAATAAGTTTTCTTTTCACTGGTATTTCTCAAAAAAGAATCGAGGTGGTCAAACGATTTTGTTGTAGCATGAGGATGGGTCTCGACTGTACCAAACAGGAAGGGAGGATAAATATTACTTTGCACAGTTACCCAGGTACCCCCTATAACTGTAATATTTACAGCTGTGGTGGAGATTTTATTTGCTTTAAGGGTATCTCGAATTCCTCCAGCTCGCCCTGCATCACATCTATAAATATCAAGATTTTGAATATTGAGGAAATGAATGAACATTTTTTTCATGATGCCATTTTTCACAGATGCAAATGATATCGATATTTTTCACCGTAATAATGGCTTCAGTTTCTTCAAAGGGTGTGATTGTGCATTGTTGTGTGCTATTGTATGATTTAACCGCAGGTCTTGCTGGCTGTTTAGCGGCGTCAAACAAGTTGATAATTTTTGCACTGGAACACTTTCATATTACTTGGAGAAACATCTGAATTGGAGAAAAGATCATTTCTTTGCCGCTTACTGTTATTCTGAAACTGGAGTAATGATTAAACGTTTTGTATGCTTTTCCATTCGATATTTTTTATGTATAAGACAGTTCGATGCCTTGTTGGTATCAGGGTGACAACTTGTGAGGTACACTTCTTGGGAGCGTTCTGCAACTTGAAGTGGCTTTGTGACGCTCTCCTGAAAGAGAGAATGAGTGAGTGCTTGTATGTGTATGTGTGTGTGTGTGTTTGTGTGTGTGTGTTTGTGTGTGTGTGTGTGTGAGAGAGAGAGAGAGAGAGAGAGAGAGAGAGAGAGAGAGAGAGAGAGAGAGAGAGAGAGAGAGAAGGAGAGAGAGAGGGAAAGAGAGAGAGAGAGAAAGATAGAAAGAGAGAGAGAGAGAGAGAGGGAAAAAGAGAGAAGCAGACAATCAGATTTACAGACACACAGAGAAAGGGAGAAAGAGAGATATATACAGAGACAAAGGCGGAGACGGACAACCAGACACAAACAGACAAAGAAAGAGAGTGGGAGAAAGAATAATACTAAAATGCGGGGGAACAATTATCTGTATGCACTTGTTTACCAAAAAGTAACTTTTATTCTGAACCCCAGAATACCTTCATTATACCCACGTGAAATGCAAAATAGTTTCTCATTTCTATAAAAAGTTCTGCACGTGTAAGCTTTTTCCATATAGTTACATTTTTTTTTTCAATAATGTCGACATCACTAAAACTGAATATATCTTATTGAAAATGAGTAGATAATACATTGCATAAAAAAACTTAAAATAAGATTATTCATATCATATGACCAAAGTGAAAATCTTACAGACTAAAAGAATATTTGGCAATCTTGAAGTGCATTTGTAATTAATTAAAGAAGATAAAATAAAATTTAAAAAAAAATACCGTTGGAACAGGTGTTATAATTCCCCTAAAGAAATATCTGAATATTTTGAATTGTATGAATCTCATTAAGACAATGTGATGTGATTGGGTTTCAGGAAAATAAGTAGGCCTACCGAAATAGATAATGTAAAGGAAACTAAATGTATGTTGTGCAAGGAAAAAAATATATGAATACATTAGTACATTGTATCTCAGAGTGGTACAATCTCTGAGAGGATTTTCCTTGAGTTACAAAGGAAAATGTGATTGCATTTCCCTATTTGGAACTACTTTGAACTTTGAACTGTTTAGATTATTGTCGGTAATTGGTATTCGTCTATAATGCTGTGATGATGCACGAACGCCCGAACATATATTCTCTACCCCCCTCTCTGTCTATCTGTCTGTCTATCGATCTATCCATCTATCTAACTATATGTATATATAAATAGATGTATGTGTGTGTGTATGTCTGTGTACATATACATACACACACACACACACACACACACACACACACACACACACACACACACACACACACACACATATATATATATATATGTATATATATATATATATATATATATATATATATATATATATATATATATGTATGTATGTATGTATGTATATATATGTGTATATATGTCTATATAAATATATATATATATATATATATATATATATATATATATATATATAAATGCACATATATCATTCACTTTCATTTACGCCCTTTTCTGCATCTACCTATCTATCTATTTTTGAGTATGTCAGTGAAATAAGGTCTATGAACTTAGAATACCATAACATACTAATATCAGAACTTTCTAAGTTTGAGAACATAATCTTTTGACCTTGGTCCGTGTGGCCTCACTTCGCTTTGTGTATTCGATGAAAGGCTTTAGCGAGCGTAATCAATGAGCGAACTCTAACAACTTCCATTCACACTCGCCACACCTCGTAGTCTTTCATCTTTTGGTTTTCAGAAGCCGTTTCAATGTTGCCGTGATTATAACAAGCCTAATGAAGTATGGCAGGCAGTGTAAACGATATGAACTAAAGTATACCCATACTATTGTGGCAGCAGAGGTAGTTGAAGGAGTATATATCAAAGGGATTGTAAACTAATATGGTCCATAGCTCAGGCTTTTATGTGTTACGTGATATTACTACGACAGAGTTCATAGTCACTTAATGAGGACAAGCCGAGGATTTTTAAAACTTCTTTCAGGGTTTTCTACTACGTTGGCTTCATTGCTGAAGGAGATTCCTAAAGTAGTTTTCATAATTACGAAGGGAAGCGGATATTAGATGGAGAAAGGACTTAAGGAGCTGTCTGTTGAAAATTGCGTTACAATCTTCCATTACGGAACATTTGGCCAAATTAATCTGACTTCTACCATAACTCGCCGATGATTGCTTTTCTTTCTTTAATTCCTTTTCTTTGTTTAAGTATCATGACTTTTTCCCCCATGGCAGTAATTTTGGTACTTTTAGCACAGGTAGCACCGTTTCGTCTCGATAAAAATCCTAGGTGGCAACCACTAAGTAAGCCACGCCCCTTTGCCTTCATTCATTGCAAATATTGATAAGATATTTTTATTTCGTCCGTGGTTTCTTTTTCGATTATTTATATACCATCGTCATTACTGAACCAAAGAAAATATACTGAAGCATATACAATAATAAATCTCACAGATCGACAAAGGTGTACAAATGCGAATGACGTCATTGCGCTCAGACAATGAGGATGCATCGTAAGATATCATATATAGCTAGATACATAATCATTTACATAAGTTATTCGATACTTTAATAATTAACAAATATAAACCAACACAAAAATAACAATACGAATCCAAAATCCACCATCTAACATATCAACTCAAGATGAAATTAAATGGATTTTATTCAACAACTTGATCAGGAATTAATATCAAACCATAACGATCCTACAAATAACAACACGAGTTTTCGATAGCAAGGATAAGTATATTTCTCTCACATATTAGTAGACTGGAACGTAGACTATGGAAGAAATTGCA